CACGCCTCATCCTGATCATCCTCGTCCTCGCCCTCTATACCAATAGTTTCCATCTCAATAGGATCAGGCTCATGAACAGCAAAAATACGATAGTACAGTCCAGGATACGCCTCGAGGTACATAGCATGCCGCTTGAAGATATCATACCACTTCTCCCTCACCCATTGCTGGATATCGCCAGTCAGTGTAATCGTCTTGATATGTTGGAGGTGCCCGTTGTACCAAGCATACTCCAGTATCCAGTCTATAACCAAGCCACTATCGCAGACGTGCGGGCGTAGTCTTGCTTCAGGGAAGTTCTTTGCGGGGTTTGTCTCGCACCAAGCAGCTTCTTGGACGTCGTACCAGGGGTTTGCTTGCTTGTATGCTTCGCCGAAATGGATTTCAAGCTCTTTCGTGTGCAGAAGAAAATGGCCGGCACCGTGGCAGAATTCGTCGCGGTATAAGTTGTCGCCGGCGATTGCACCGTCGCGGTAATGGAAGGGTGGGACTGCGACGTCGAACATGGCGAAGTATTGTTCGGCTGTGAAGTCGAGTTTAATCTTCTCTAGTCCGTGGAGCGAGGAGAGATGCTTCATACGAGCGTATTGTGCACTGCGATCGCTGATTACCGGAAACTTCGTCGACAGGGAGAGTTTCGGGTCCTGACAGATGGCATCCCATGGCTGACTGGGCAAATAGTACCAGCCTATACGGTCCTTCATCTTCAGACTCATCAGGAGATGGCTCATGTAGAATGTTGTTGGGTCGGAGAACTCTTTGGCGTCGGTCAGCCAGGAGCGTATCCGAGACTGGAAGTATTCTTGGAAAATGAATGATGGGGCATCGCTGGTGCTGGAGATGGTGGCGAAAGGATCGATGTTTTCGGGATTGGAGTAGGATAGTGTGTAATGAGGTTGGGCGGAGCCATCGATTACGATGCGTTGTTGGCCGAGCCAATGCTGTAGTACGATGAGGAGTAGTTCTGGGGGTAAATTTTGTGCAGCGACTTGGAATGTCATGTCATCGTCGATGCTTGAAAGTAGTGCCATGGTTCTGAATACTGTCTTAACGGGTAGACGTCAAGACATGGGTAAAGAGCCTATATATGTTACAAAGCGCATGCATAAGCGCATCGTTGGTATGATTTTCGTCACTGCGCGTGGTTTACAGTCCGGTTCGTGAATCGGTACCACAGTTCGTACTCGACACCTGACATAGTGCGGGAACGCGGAGACACTAAGGTGAATTTCTGGTACTGCTGCGTTGGGAATAAGTAAGCGACAGTATTGTTAGCAGGAGTGTGAATATGTGCTGGGTATTGGTGTTGACGGAGACCGGCGGAGGAAACGGCTTTGCCAGGCTCGCATCGACTCGAGATCTGAGCCATGGTTGGGTAGCGTGGCATGACAGATACACCGCCACGGAGGACTATCTTGACAGTGTACAATTTGAAGTATTAATCGAACGGAGAGCAGTATTTTGGTGACATTGAATATCGCATATGCTTGCTGATATTTGTCAGGTATTGAAACAGGTAGTTATACAGTCGCTGTTGAACGTGGTCATGATCGTCGTTTGGCTGGCGCTGGACTCCAGCCCTGGGGTTGCCACTCCTGACTCTGAGCCGCCTGCTTCCATGGCGAGTCCTTGGGCTCCTTCTTCATTCTCTTTCTGGGCGTGAATGCAGGCGTGTCGTCTTCGGCTGGCGGTGCTGGTGGGTCGCGCGGCATCTGCTGAGGCTCTGCGGGTTGTTCGGGCTCTACTGGCGCTGGTCTCGCGACTTCCTGATCGAGTGGCCGCGGTGGTTCTATGCTGTCCCTTGTCTCTTGGTCTGCATTCATTTGCGTGACGCCGCTGTCTGGGTCTCGCGACTGCAACATCTGCACCGGCTGTTGCTTATCCGGCGCATCGAGTGCTGACGGCTTCTCGGCCCATCGTGCATCTGCCTGCGCCGCCAGCTGCTTCATCCGCTCCTGCCTCATCATGTCCTGGTGTTGTTCGGCGACGGTGGGGGGTTCGTAGCGCGTGTGTCTCAGCCATTGCATCCATGACGCTGCCACAGTCAGCCTCGGTCAAACACTGGATATGGAAGGAACGAACGTGATATTTGCACGTCGCCATAGTGAGTGCTGCGACTGTATTTTGCTATCCGTCGGTTGCGCAGGGCGTGCAGAGCGTCCTTGAATTCCCAGAAAGTGTTGCCCTGGAGATCGAAGCCTACGAGGTGTTATTACTTGGAAGCAAGGATACGCCAGAGACCTATGTCGAGGCCTGCACTCACCCACAAGCCACTTCTTGCGCCAGGGGAAGCGCTTCATCTTCCATTGGTACCATGCTTTGCGAATTGCACCCGGTGCGCCCGCCATGCTGAGTCTCGTTGGGCCGCGAACAAATTCCAGCGGGCGAATATCTGGAGGCGACTTTGACGCGCAGGCCGGTGACGTTGGGGCGAGTGGCTGGTGCGTTCACGTTAGCACATGTGCAAGCATTCCCCCCACCACCAAGTTTCTCCACACAACAACACATGCCATCATTGCATACCCCGACGCCACAACAACACACGTAGCAGTCGAGGCCCTTACATAGAGACATATACATTATCATATCTCACCACTACACCTCGTGCACCCTCCCCATCACCGCCCACACGACCTTCGTGCCCAACAGCAACAAGCCTGATTTGCGCCCAAACCAACCACCATGGCGTCTGTAACGTCGCTGGACCAGGACATGCGGAGGCTGCGGATGGACAGATACACCCCCCAAGCAGCCAATGAAGTCCGCAGCTGGATAGAAGACACACTCGGAGAGCGCCTGCCCGCGGGAGATCTGCTAGATGCGCTCAAGGACGGGACCGTATTATGCAGGTACAGTGATATCCGTAGAGTTACCAGGTAGCCGGGCCAGTATAGCTAACTCTTCCAGACTCATCAACCTCGCCATACCCACGCCGGTTAGGTTCAAGAAGTCCAATATGCCCTTCATACAGATGGAGAACATCTCGCACTTCCTGCGAGCTTGTGAACAGCCGCCGCTGAACATGCCTGCCCATGATCGCTTCCTCACCGTCGACCTTTACGAATCAAAGGACCCAGCTCAGGTGCTGCAGTGTCTCGGCGCCTTCAGCCGTGTGGCCAACGCGAAGAACCCGTCCAACTTCCCCAACGTCATCGGCCCAAAGCGTGGTGGAGCTGGCGCATTGAGTCCGACGGCAACTGGCGGCATGCCGAGTCCTGCACTGCCGTCTCCCGGCTTCCCACGCAGCAGGGGACCTAGCACCGCCAGCAACACCAGCGGCTCGAGCACATTCAACCCCCTTGCTCGACCTCCTGCCGAAAGGACAGCATCGACGCTTAGTGCCGCACGCACTGGAGGCTCAGACACATCATACACGTCCAACGGTCTCCCCAAGTCACCTCCAGGCGGAGTCAGTAGCTGGAGCAAGAAGGTCGACGAAGGCAGCACGGCACCGGCATGGAACATTCATCAGTACGGATACATGGGTGGTGCGAGTCAAGGCAATCAAGGCATCTCATTTGGTGGCCGGCGGCAGATCACGAGCGCAGGTCCGCACGTGCCGAACCTGGCTGAGAAGGAGCGACTGCGACGCGAGAGGGCAGCCGAAGAAGAGCGACTACGTTTGCAAGCTGAGGAAGCCGAGAACATACGTCGCGTCGAACGCGAAGCCGAAGAAGAGCGCATACGCATAGAGGAGGAGCAGAAGTGGGAAGAGGAGACACGCAAACAGCAAGAAGCCAAGCAGGCGCGACTGGATCAACAGAAGCGCGAGTGGGAAGAGCAAGAGCGCCAGTGGAAGCTGGAGGAGGAGCAACGCCAACGTGAAGAACGCGAGGCACAGGATAGAATCGACGCCGAGACGAGACGAAAGCGCGCTGGAAGTGATGCCAGGCTGAAGGGGCAGTACCTGAGCGAATACCAGGCGGAGAAGGTCAGGTCACCGCGTAGCCGACGAGGAAGCAGCGAGGAGCCCAACGCTGAGCGCGATCGCATACGAGAGCTAGAGCGCCAGCTCGAAGAGGCCAAGGAACGCGAGCGCCAGTACCAGGCAGAGCGAGAAGGACGCCTGTCTGACAAGAAGGTACGGTCGCGGTCCAAGAGCCGTACACGCGAGCGATCTAAGAGTCGAGCCCGACCAGCGCCTCCACCCCGCGCTCCCTCACCACAAGACAGCAACGTCTCATGGGCGCAAGCAGACGATCGCGAGTACCTGCGCAAGCAATGGGATCAAACGCAGAGGCAGCCAGCACGACCCCTACCCGAACCCGCAGCGCCCTCTCTGCCTACACGTCCACTACCCGAACCAACCACGCGACCCCTCCCCGACCCAGCCGCATACACAAAGCAGAGCCGAACCGACCGTTACCTTTCCTCCAACCCTGCTCCCACACCACCCAAGCCCCAGACCTACATCCCACCCGAGCTCACATCCACCTCCGAACAACGAGGCGAAGACGCCCGCCGAGCCGCCGCTCAAACAAAGACAAAAGCCGGCGGCTGGGCCAGCAAATCCCTCCTCGAGCGCGAAATGGAGCGCGAACGCGAGCGCCAGAAGGAGTGGGAAGAGTCGCAGCGGGCGCTGCAAGAAGCTGCCAAGGACCCTAATGCGGGGACTGGGGGTGGGCAGAGCTGGGACGTCAATCAGTATGGGTATATGGGTGGGGATAATCAGAATAAGTTGGGCGGGATTGGGGCGGGGAAGAGGCAGATTATTGGACCTAGGCCTTTTGGTCCTAGGTAGATGTTGATGGGATGAGTGGAGGGGAGGGGGATGTTTCGTTTGTTTAGGCTTGGTGCTTGGTAGATGTTGCATGTTAGCGCTGCTTGCGGCGGGATATGTACGTTTCTAATACATTAATTTTAGACTTTCTGTTCATCTTTCCTTCCAATATGCAGATATACTGACTCATGTTTGGTTGGCGTTCACACCAGGATTGCTCCAAAGAGTTGAGGCATGACACCAGTCTGCTTTTGTTCGTTCTTCATGAGTTACCAACCATCTACAGTTTACTAAACTTCGGCGACGTCTTCTTCAACCCACTCATCATAGCATCCTTAACATCCGCCGTCTGCAACATCGCCGCATTCCACACGGCCGTGTAATTCAACCCCTCACTAATCGGCCTATCCCTCGAGTAATTGATAATCTCCTTCGTCCCCAGCACCGCAACCGGGCTCTTCGAAGCAATCAACGCCGCCAGTTTAGTTGCCTCCGCAACCGCCTCCTGCTTATCCTTGTACACCTTCGACACAAGCCCATGCTGCAACGCCTCATCCGACCCGAAGATACGCGCTGATAACGCAATGTCTTTGACCCAAGATAGGTTTCCAACGGAATGAGGCAGACGCGATAGGGTGCCGATATCAGCCGCAAGTCCGATATCCACTTCTTTCACACTGAAATGAGTCGTAGTCGTTGAAATGCGAATGTCGCATGCTAGACACATATCCAGCGCCAGACCGAAACTCACGCCGTGCAGAACAGCGATGACAGGTTTCTCGCACTTTTCAATGTCGGTGATGCAGGCTTGGAATTCCAGAATGTGCCGGCGCAGGGCGTTGGCTTTGCGTGCGCCATCCGAGATGTCTGCTTGGGATGAGAGGGCGCCGCCTTCTGAGGCGGCTTGCACGTCGAGGCCGGCGGTGAAGGCGCGGTCGCCGGCGCCGGTTAGGATTACGGCGCGCACGGAGGGGTCGTGGGAGAGTTGGCGGAAGATTGAGGAGAGGTTTAGCCACATGCTGGGGGGTTGTTAGTTGGGGGACATGGGGTTTCCGCGTGGTAGTCCGTAGGGGTATCAATGGATTAAATATCGTTTGTAGAGCTCTCTAGGCAGTATGTCTAGTGATGTCGAGATGCCAGTGTGTTCCCTTCTCTTTTCTGGCATCATGTGATACAAATGCGTCCCTGGCTATATATCCTGATCTTCGGGAAAGTAGGGAATGCGTTTTGTACTTACACCTCTTTAAAAGCATTCAGCTTCTCCGGCCTGTTAATTTCAACATGCGCGACGTATTCCGTCGGAAACGAAACGTTGAAGAACTCTTTCTGGTATGCTTCCGCCATTGTGCTTGTTGGTCGTGAGCCGCTGCTGTCCACTGTAGGTGCCTATGTCTTTCCGTGCCGTTTCTTTCTATCGGCCGAGTCGGAATATGTTTGCGGTCTTGTATGTTGCGAATGGCTAAGTTTCGAATAAGGATTGGGAGTGAGACGTCGTCGGCTTTGATGACCTGGACGCGCGAGTCGTTCGGCTGGGGAGCTTGTGATGCGTGATCAAGCCGAGGTAGATTGGATGCGGTTTAGCGGGGCCCTGATCGCGTCGCTAGGATGGCGTACCTCCAAAGGCTGAGACGCGGAGACACTTTGGGCATGCAAAAGTCACCTCAAACCGTCAAAACCTCGTCCGGATCGCAATACTTGACCTCTGAGAGTAGCCTATCTAGGATCAGAAGAGCTCATCGCTGACAGGGGTGTGCGTGCACCTGCTCCAGTTCCGCTGCTGCTTCAAATCCGACCGCATCCAATTGCTCGTCGATGAAAATGGTGGCTCATGCCATTCATATCGCTGGCTGGCTTGGAGAACAAGTTTTGGCAGAAGGCTGAAAGTCATGCACGATGACAAGGCTGCGTAGGTGTGGTTGCCTAATCATCTGACAGGCCTCAGCCTGATGCGCGCTTATCTACTGCATTGCATCGCGCTGGCCGGTTTCCATCACTTCCTCGAGAGCTAAAAACCAGTCGAGCTTCTTTAAGCGTTGTTATACACGTATTCTAACCTATTCATCACCTTGAGGTGAGGGTCATCAGGCTGAGAGGAGCTAAGGGGTACAGGTCTGGAAAGGAAGACCGGGGGCTCGCTGCGTTGAGAATACAGCACGAAATGGGAAAATCAGAGGAAAGGCGCCTTGCTGAATTAGAGGAGTTCAAGTTATTCGCGGCGCAAGAGAAGTTAAAAGTGGCATCAGGGACTCAGCAACAGGATCCCTGTGTTCCGTACACAGCAGCAAATACTCTGAGCTCCTATGCAGAGTCTCTGGAGATCAAAGCAACGGGGTCACGTGGAGGTAACAGATTTATGATTCAGAAGATACAGAGTGCTACATGTATCCTCGTCTCAATCTTGCGGGAGGATCAACTACTGAAGCCTCTATATGAGTCAGTCCGCAACGATGCCAGTGTTGGACCCGCCGGGCTCATGTCATACATCGACTATTCCTTGAGAACATTTGCGGAGCAGCTCAGAGAGGAGGCGAACGATGCTTCTCAGTTTGCTGCTTGCGATTTCGTCAGAGCAAAGGCAGGTTACGCATCTCGATCTATCGCCAGTGGAGAGGACCTTGGATGTAACCCGAAAGAAGAGACAGTGAAACTGTCAGAGGAGATGTGGTTTGTGGCTGCGGCATTGGGAAACCTGAAGACTTTCTACTTGTTCCTGGGAAATAGCAATGCCTATGCGACACTACAAGCAAACATCCATGGCTTTTGTACGGCACACCTAGAGGCGACAGCTTATATCGCAGCTTACATGGAAACAATCTCCAATCCAGAGTTAACAACTCCTGTAAGAGCTAACACTAGGCTTAACTGGTATGCATGGCAAAGAGATGCAAAAAACCTGGTGTATGGCTTTCTCGCAGATTACCTACGCAGATTTGTCTCGGCGCGTGTAGGCTTGCTCGGTACTCCAATGAGAAGATATAACCGAGCTCAAGGCATCAATCTGGAACGCCTGGCGCTACGTTTTATAACAGAAGTTGCCTTTCCGTTACAACATAATATCCTCAAGGCGTTAGGGTTACTGGAGCCTCCACTCCGAGGTGGCTGGACGCGTATATGGTGTGAATGTGTAAGCTTATTAGAAAGGTATCTTTGCAAAACCACCCCACTGACCGTGAACACAGACATGCGGCGATCAGTTCTTTGACGACTTCAAAGAACTAAACAGTGGTGGGGTGGCGGCATTAGTACAAGAAATGAAGAAATCCTCTGTAAACACCAAGGTTACAGTGACTCCGTATCGCCCTGGCGTCAAGGCACGGAAGTATGCTATCAGAGTGTCAACATGGATGCATCATGTAAGTAGCATGTTGCTAGCGATGTTTCCCTGGCACGATCAAAACTCTCCTGGCCTCGTTCGATATAAGACCGGGAACACAGCTCCCACGGCCAACATCAAAAAGCCGAGCAACCCACAACAGCAGTTAAACACGGTCCATCTCATGTCTTGCGTACATCGCAGGCGCGACGACCCAACACTACTCCAAATCGACGTCCATGACATCAAGAGCGACCGAGAACTCTTCAGCCTTCTCAAAGCCAAGGTATCTCAACGCCACAACCGCTTCTTCCGTGCACTTTCATGTCGTTCAATACAAGGAATCTTCTTCACCAAGGTAAGCAACCAAAGCATCTCCAAGCACACCGCTCACGGGCTCATGCAAATCCAGTTCCTTCTCGAAACGAATGACCACGTTGAGATTCGCGACCACAACGAATCTTGTGCCTCAAGAATATCAACAGAAAGCTACTGTGGCTGCTTACCTCCAATACACATCGTCGAGCCGTACCTAAACGCAGAGTACCGCTGCAACATTCCTAGCCCGCCAGATACGTGGCCGCCCATCGGATCGAGCAAGCTGCTCCACATGCTCAAATGCCCAGAAACCATCACCAAAGATTATACCTGGGTATTGCATCGGGTACCGAAACGTATTGCGGGAGAACTGTCAGGAGCTGGTGGTGACCAGCCAGCTGATGGATGGGGCTTTTACTTCCAAGAAGGCTGGGATTTCGACGTTCCGGTAACGATCAGCTTTTTAATGCTTGTATTGGGAAGTCTGGTGTTCGCGGTATGTTGGACGGTGCTGGAGTCGGACATCCAGGGTGCATTCGGTGTGAGCGCGTATATGATCACGGCATGGGGCCTAATCGTTGCTTTTTCTATGAGCCAGACGGGGAAGGCAGGATAGAGCAACAAAAGGTTCGACGTTCACCATAACATACACAGTCAATGAAATATAGCCTTCATTCATCGCAAGCGACACTTCTGTGAGTGACCCGAGCTTCCATAGCCCACATACGAAAACATAGCCACCACGCATGGCAAGCAACCACTTTTGGACTTGAGAATTTTCATTGACTCTAAGCGCCTGGACGTGGTAATGCCGGAAGAGTCCCAAACCCATCCCGCATGAGCATCAATCATAACCCATGGCATGCTACAGAAGATGTGGAATCGTGATTTTCCCGTTACGCCCCGTTGCACTACCCAACATGCACTACCTTATCCCCTCGCCATGACGCCCCAGCAGCGGATACGGTTGTCGGTGTATCCGGCGAACAGGGTCTGGCCGTCGGCACTCCAGGCCAAGGAGACACACTCGGGCTCCCGGCTCTTCTTGCCAACCTCCATGTACTCAGGCTTGAGCTCGTCAACCTTGGACTTCTTCTCAAGGTCGAAGATGATGATGCTGGAGGCGGTGGCAGCGCACAGCCAGTAGCGGTTGGGGGAGAAGACAAGGGCGTGGATCTCGTCACCGGCGGAGAGAGAGTAGAGGTGCTTGGACTCGTTCAGGTCCCACAGCATGGTGGTTCCGTCCTTACCACCGGAGGCGCAGAGGGAGCCATCGGGCGAGATGGTGACGGTGTTGATGTAACCGGTGTGACCGATGTGGTCGGTCTGGATGCGGCAGGAAGCGAGTTCCCAGACCTGGATATTGTCAGCTTCCCGAATTTGAAGTGGCTTGAAGCAGATCGAGTGAGGAGCGTAAATCAGTACTAGGTGATAATTGTCTCATAGCCGAAGCTCTGAAGTAGCAAATACATAGATATTCATCATATAAACAAGGAAATGCAGGAATTGGTGTAAACGCGGATGTACGCACCTTGACGAGCTTGTCCCAACCAGCAGAGACGATGACGGGGTTCTGGGGGTTGGGGGAGAAGCGGACGCATGAGACCCACTCGGTGTGGCCCTTGTCGGTGATGGTGTACTTGCAGTCACCGAGGGTGTTCCAGAGCTTGATGGTTCGGTCGCGCGATCCGGAGACGATCTGGCGGTTGTCGGCGGAGAAGGAGACGGAGAGAACGTCGTTGGTGTGGCCGACGAAGCGGCGGGTGGTGACACCGGTGGAGAGCTCCCAGAGGCGGAGGGTCTTGTCCCACGATGAGGAAAGAGCGTAGGCGCCGTCAGAGGAGATGACCTGTGCAGCAATTGTCAGCTCAGCCGTCGTCGCTTCCTAGCTAGCCAATTGCCCAATTTTGTGGTGAACGTACACAGTCGGAGACAATGTGGGAGTGACCGTGCAGACTCCTCTTGGGGTAACCGTAGGAGGTCTCGTCGCGGGTCAGGTTCCAGATGATCAGAGTCTTGTCGCGCGATCCGGACAGGAGCATGTTGGGGCTAATCGCGTGTCAGTATTGCGCATTCGTGCATTTTCCCTCTTCCCGCGTATACGCACTTCTCCAGGGAGGTCGCCAGGGAGGTGACCCAGCCGGAGTGGCCCTCGAGGGTGCCACGGAGTACGAGTTGCTCGGCCATGATTGCGATGAGTGGCTTCTGCTTGGGATGGACGTAGGCGCACTCGGGTGTTAATAGTTGTTCGTCGAAGAGCACTGCGCACAAAGGCTGGAGGCTTCAAAATTCCAAGGTTGATAGGCGAACCACTAGCGTCGTTTGGGCTTAGCGTGGACCGTCAGCACAGGAGCCCTTTACTCGACATTTGACCTCACTTGGACATGACATTGTCAAGCCATTAATAAAGTACCCGGAGTGAGTGATACAGCCCTAATGAATAGTAGTTTACCGCTGACGCCACTCCACGCGATCTTGGATTCTTAACAACTCACTCTAAAGTCAGGTATAGAGGGGTCAACTTGCTTGCGCGTATCTCACCTGTGCAATTTGTGCCATACTATCGCCTTTATTACATAAGCATTGACGTTGATTTGTCTTCTTAAGTATCTCATCAGTGTATGATTGAAGCTGGGAAAAACAGTTCTACTCGTTCCTTCCCTGACTTCACAGCTTCCATCCAAAGCCGACTAACTCCGGTCTCCCAAGTCTT